ACAGATCATAGTATTTTGAGTCTCAAGCTGAGTAGCAGGACAGTGTGTGGCTATAGTAATCCATCATACCTGATTGCACATTTATAGTTCTAGCTTTTACCCTGGGAATTGATTCATCTTCCCTAAGGGACACGCAGCCAAAATCAGAGTAATTTCATATGTCTCCTGTAAGCCCGTCAAAATTTACTCAAGCAGTTTTTAAGTCATATGCACTCCCAGCTCTTCGTGCTGCAGCTCCTTTATTCACTAACTACAAGTGTAGCTGGAAGTAACTCTTTTGCAAGAAGCTCAATTATGTCACCCCTGGTACTCTTGGGATCTGTCACACATACATGGCATGCTACTGGGATACAGAAAAAAAACTAAGCGGAGATTTGAATGTTAAACTTCAATATGCTCAGTGACTGCCACAGCTGTTGAGCTGTAATACCAGGTTTCAGTAGACCAATACCTAAGTATTTTTATATGTCAGAAAAGCTTCAGCAGGGGAACCGGTCACAGACCTACAATGGTGGTTAGTTCTCTATCTATCATTTCGCAACTATAAATGAGAAACACACGAGTAGTTCTGATTTGTCAGACATACAGTTGGAATGTTCAAAATCTCACCTACTTTCATACTTTTCTTCTCAGCTCCATTTGCTCATCCATGGAGGAAGACAGTAATCCAGTTCACAAGCTGTACTTATGGCCTAGCACTACCAGTTAGCCTCTCCGGGAAACCTAATCTTATGTTTGTGAAGATGAGAGACTGCAACAGGCAGTTCTGTCTAGTGAACTGACCACGAATGCTGTACCTTCCCAAAGTTACCAAATGCAATTCAGTCTTTATCCACAATGCTCCTGTTTCTTCCATTCTGGTTATCTCCTCAACAAACATAACGGAGAATTATCCTGAATTATGTGCCAGTTGTTCAGCATGGGAATAGGACTAGAATGAAGCAAACAAGACCAGATAAGACAGATCCTGAGGGAAGACAGGCAAGTAAACTCACAAGAATTACCACCACCCAGAGAGGCAGCTCTGAATGTTGGTTTTATCCCATCACATAATTTTAAAATATTTTGTTTCTGATACGTACACAGCTTTAGAAATGAACAAGTCAGCTTTAGAAATGAACCATTGGCCTCAGTCACCATGCAGGCCAGATAAAACATTCAGATCCATAAAAAGCCTGAAATGCATTTAAAAGATCTCATCACACACAATTCCTTCAAATTCAGAAGCAACTGTTGTGGTTTTCCACATAAAGGATAGCAAGTACAAGACTAATTTCTTGATTTTTACTGTCCCGTGCTGTTAAAATACAAGAACTAATATTAACAAGAAAGATGAAAAAGTGACAGTTTTACAGCTCTAAAGAACTTAATGTTTAAATGTAACTTCCAGTGAGAAATAATTTGAAAAAAACTTGCTGCAATTAATTAGACCCTAGTGACCCAATTCTTGGGTGGAAAGATTTGGTGATAAACTGCACACAAAGACACTCTCTTATCCTCTTTTCTGAAACACCACCAGTTACTGTGCCCCACTGAATTTTATCTATACAAACACATCCTATTCATACAGCATCTCAAAGAGGCAACCTGAGCTGTGCTGAAACAACTTAGCAGGACTCAGGTATCATTTCTGCCATTAGCAAGAGAGGCAGGTTCCTGCTTATCAACTTGCAGCTTCACAAAGATAGCTGCTCTCTGGCTCCCAAGTCCACAAATTACAAGGTAACACTGAAATGTAAACCAAGATGTACTTTTTGTACAATTTTCCTGACAAAACCTTATGTTATGTGCTGTTAAATGTGTTGTAAATTATATACTATATAAATTAGTTGAAACACCTCATGTCAAGTCCTCTCTACAGCCTATGGTTTGATAGGTAAGCAGAAAAGACAGCCTTTTTTATTTTTGTACTATGTGAAAACAGAAAGACCAGGTATGCTTGAAAAAGCAGCTCAAAAGTGGTTTTAGAAAATCAAAGAGAACAGCATGAGTAATGAGGATGATAATAATTAGCACCCAGACGTGCACAGTAAGATTGTGTTCCTCAAACAGTAACTGCATTATACCACACTACAAGCAAAAAAGTGGATTGTACAAATATTTTGTTCTGTTTCAGTAACATATCTCTCAGTTACTTTTTCCTTTATGTTTTTCCTCTTTCTTACTGTCCTATAACATCGTAAAGGAAATGGAATCTCTCAATAAACCTCTACAAAGACAGCCTTTCGGCTCTTTCAATATTCCACTCTCATGATAAAGCAAAAGCAATTCCTTTCTCCTTTTCCCTATCTACCAGACTCCAAGAAGATGAAGGGACTTGCATACTTTCTTTTCAGCCCTTGTCCCCTGCAGTCATCCTTCTCCCTCCAGCCGGCCAGCACCAGGGTCTCTGCAATGCTCTCCCATTTAATTCTTGCCCTCAGTGGGGCTGCACAGACATAACCAATTGCAATTTACCAAACACTTCTAGTCTGCCCAAGGCACCAGACTCCAGCTTGTTCTACATCTAGTGTGTCAACCCTGTGGGGACAAAAACATCAGACGTTTCCTTTGCAGCTCACGACTGATGGGGACAAAGAGCAGATCTATCAAAGCTGATACACAGTGTCTTTTTGAGACCAGAATGGAACAAAAGATTATGAAATCACCTATAATAATTCTTCTCTTTCCGGTTTGAATTCCTAGGAGGTGTTTTCCTGTCTTCCTAAAGCCATTGTCCTCCCTGTAATGGCTCAGCTGTTAATGTCACTGTCTTTTGAAACAGGTCACCCTAATGGCAAGCTTGCTTTAGGCATATTGATTCAAGCTCATTAATATGCATGCTCTCTCTCCATTCATTTGTTTCTCTATTTACTTTGAAGTCGCTTTGTTGGAACCTGCACTGCTTTTCTGTGTTAAGACTCTTGGCTGGCATTTCTCAGCTTGCTGCATCTCTGTTTTTTATCCAGAACGGAAATGGGACCGAATGTTGCAAAAGCTACTAAATGGCACTGCAAGTGACATTTGGTGCCCAGCTGAATGAATTTCTTGGCCTCCTCACCCTCACCACTGATAGATATTTTTTCTACTTGCTCTCAAGTTGGCTGTTTACATTGCACATTTTAGGGCAAGTAATATCTCCGTATTTGTTAAGCATCTGCCACAGGAGAGTACAGCCCCTCACTGTGCTTCTACAAAAAATAACACCACCTGGGTTACCTTAAGTCTCTTTCTAGATGTTTCTTCCACCTGAAAGAGCTATTTCCAGCATGAGAGGAGAAATCAACTTTGACTCAGATACAAAATTCTCAGTGTGATAAGGGAAAGTGATTCAGCTGTCTTCTTTTATTTTTGGTTTTGTGATTCAGGAGCAGCTCATTGTTCAGATGACACAGTCAGTCATAACTGGAAACTTCTGTGAGGGGGAGGAGTAAAAGCATTTATGTAATATTAAGAGGTCACTTTATATTAAGAGCTCTACCCAAACAGATCAGTATCAACTTTGTCCTCAGCAACAGGCCTATGTCATCCAAGGTTATTTTGGGGTAAAATATTTGGACATGCCATTTTCCTCGAAGTACCTACAGGAATGGTCAGTTAGGTAGTTTCTCTTGAGACTGCATATCATGTCAACATAGGTCTGCTTACTACTAAGTCCTTTCCTAGCAAACGTGGAAATAGCCACACAACCTTCATGATTCCCTCCTACAAACACCACTTTCTTCTCCATAGCCATCTATTAGAAACACCCTGAAGTATGTGAGAGGAGATGGGCATGAACAAGACACTGAGCGTATCTAACTAAGGAGAGAAGCCAGTTTGATTAACTAAATTTAGTGGCCTTTTCTAGAGGGCTGCAAGATTCAAATCAAATAGGTACAAACACCTTTTTTGGCAGATGGGACTCATAGTCTCTACTAAGCCAGCGCACCAAAACTTCTACAGTTTAAATGAAACTGCTTTGACTCCACTCCAGCTTCAGCACAGCTGTTCCCAACCCTTTAAATCCCACTGCGCTTCTTGTGGAGAAAAGCAGTAGTAAGCTGGATAACGTTTAAAGTAAACAATTCTTCTGCTTGATCTCACAGAATTTTTCAGGACATAAAATATTTACATATGGAGCGGGTTTTTAATTTAATATAATTCATTAAATTATTTACAGCATTAGTTTTAACAGGATCCACAAAAGGAAGCATATAGTAAATTAACACAACCAAACAGAGCGAGTGGTATAGAGCAGGAGTCACTAACCTATGTCACAATGCAAAGGGCTGCATATGAGTTACTGGAATATGGCAAGACAGCAGGGCTGACAGGTGGTCACGAGCTGAGAGTCCTGACAGTTTGACAGGGTCCCTCACACAAGGGCCAAGAAGGCTCCAGTTACAATAGCATCTAACAGCTTTAACACACAACCTCTTCCAGTTCACACTGTCTACTGGCTTGTGCCTCACTTGATGTAATACAGAATCCATCTCCCAGCTGCTGGTTGAAGTACTTGATCTTGGTCTAGATCTACTGCTGCACAGCCTTGGCTTATTAACTACATATTCTCCAACAGGAGCAGTAGCAAGGATGCAATGTCATCTGAAAATCCATCACACACTGCAATACAACGAAGAGCTGCAAAACACAACAGTGAGTACAGAAATACCAGTGCTATGAGCCAAAGTGGCCACCTGTGGAGGAACGAACAGTGTAGGGATGAAAGCACACACCAAAATGTTTCAGGTTAATTTTTTTTCCAGGTTACCTTCCCTACTTATTTTCAGCACCTTAAAGTATACAAAATCCATCTCAGCTAGCCCCGAAAATTGCTGATTATTGCACTTAAAAAGTAAAACTCACTACCTAGTGTGACCAGCTTTTGTCTTATTAGAAACAAAAAGCTCTGTGATTGTCATGTCATAGTCACCTGGAACCTGAAAATGTAGTCAGCTCTGATAAGACAATGCCCATCACTTCATCAACCAAAGAGGAGGATAGATGAGAGAGCATGCCACAAAAAGATTTTGACTCACCGTGGCTAATTTCTGAACATCTTCATCGGATGCTCCCAGTGAAGCAAGTCCTATCTCTTGTGAAAACTGTGCAAACTTGGGATCAGCAAGTAGAGGCACATGTCCCAAGAGTTCATGGCACGTATCCCTAAGGAAATGGAAATGAAAAGAATGTCATTACAGAAATTAATACCATAATAATTCCATAATTAATTTAACATAAGCCATTTTACATGGGTCTGACCCCTCTTTAAAAGTCTTAAAATGAAACATGGTTTTTAGTGTAGTAGTTCTTCCCTGTGAATGGTTTCTGCATGTACGCAGAAACACACACATTTGCTTCTGTTAAATAAGTTATATGTCATTTAACCCTACCTGTTCTGTGATTTTCTCATCATTTCCACATTGAGTGGGAGAGCCTGAGCACTACTGACTTGCAGACTTAGTGGCATGAAGACTGAACTGCCCAAAGGCAAGAAAGCCAGGTGTTTCACAAGTATAATTTTCAGCATTTCTTTCCATACGAATCAAGTTCAAAATCCAATATATTCCCTCTTCCTCTTCTCCATTCCCCTTTCCATACCTGGGTAGATCTCCACACCAACATTTTGCCACTCGGCCCTAGAAATTTGGAGCAATAATCACAGAGGTTTCTGTGTGCTTAGTTTCTCATTTAGTCATGAGATCCTACTGCAATTACTGCGTACTTTTGTTATGCAGTCCACTTCTCAGCAAACGGATTTAAGAAAAAGCAGGAAACCCAAATCATTTCAGAAAGAACAGCTGTTCACATCTGTATGTGCATTATTAGTCATGACAAAGTGCAGACATAAGTGCACAAAAAACTCCTAACAAAAGTGCACATGCATCATCTACAAAAGCTCTCAAACAATTCTGAAAGTTTTGGTGTTTTGTTCACAAGAAATAATGGACTTGATAGTAAAGTTCACTTTAAAAATCCAATCTGACATTTCCTTTGCTTTTGTCTCTTCAAAGACATTTCTCTTTTTTTTTTTATCCTAAGCTGTAAACAAGCATTTTAAAGGCAAGGAGAAAACATCAAGTTTTCTGCCTTCTACCCAAAATCATCCAATTTGTGTTTTATAAACTATTTTTGTTTGAAAAGTCACAGAACCTGACACTTCAGTTAAATAATGAACAGAAAAACAACCTCTATGTAATTTAAAATCATCTTACTCAGTATCTTCACCAAAAAGTCTGCACCAACTATGTGTAAGTAGAGAGCAGTAGACATAGTTTCTAAATATGCAAATGAAAATTAAAATTTTTGGTATTCCTAGTCTGCCTCACCCAAAGCTTATCAAATATAGTTCCAGTGCTGGAGGGTCACATACAAGCTTCCTTATCAGTCCAAATGGCCTCACTGACAGATGTGTAGCATCATTTGCTCATGTCATAGTCACACTTTTCGGTGAGACAAGCATCTGCCTGAAGTTGTGTGTGACAAGTTTGAGCCAACGTCATATATGAGTAATTCATTCAATGAGATCCATAGCTTAGACAGGAGTCCCCTTCTCACTGGACTTCAGACTTGAAAAATTGGTTAGCTCCGCTGGTATCCTTTTTTTTGTTCCCAAGGTGGTTTGCATCACCTGAGCAGATAATCATTAAAGGTTAATGACCCTTTTTTAATTAATTTAGTTCCAGTCACAACAATTTCTTCTATCATCTCCTGCAAGACTTAGCTTCATCATGGCTAGGCTTCGCGAACGAAGATTTGGGAAGGCTCTATCCACATTTGTTGCAGGCACGCTGGTGGCTTATGAGGCCAATACGAGACAGGCATGTCTGGTTGCAAAAGGCACAGCAGAAAGACTCCTTAGGTGGTATATTCTGCAAGACACGGTTCTTTCTGCGTTGCCTTTTCTCCTCAAGGGTGATCCTGCGTGTGTTCTCGAAGGAGACAGCTGCGTTATAGATGGTGTGTCTCCAGGCCTCCCAATTGGAGGCCAGAGTAGACCAGTTATGGTGATCAATATGGCCAAGGCTGAGGTGTTGCTTCAGGGAGTCCTTGTATCTTTTCTTCGGGGCTCCTCTGTTGTGGCAGCCAGAGGCAAGTTCACCGTAAAGCAAGATCTTAGGGAGGCGGTGGTCCTTCATCCAGCGCAGCTGTGCCCTGAGACGTGCCCTGCCCAGTGCAGCTGTGTTCTCAGCAACATGGCCTCAATACTTGTGATAGCTGCTTGCTCTAGAACAGATGTATTGGTCACAAAATCTGACCAGTGGATGTTTAGGACTGTACGGAGGCAGCGTTGATGGAACCGTTCTAGGAGACGCAGGTGGTGGCGGTAGATGACCCACGATTCGGACTTAGCTTACTAACAATACAAAGGACTGCTGGAAAATGTAGTTTGAAGTCTGACAGATACGCCCCAAGAATTCTCAGTACCAAGTAAACCTCAGTTCACTGGAGGAACATGACTTCTCCAACCATCATCTTTCAACACAGAAATGGGCCAAAAAGCCCATTCTCTGGAAGCCCAGCGCTCCAACTCCAATTCTTGCCATCACTGAAGAATCGACAGTAATTGCTGAGCACCCGTGCTACACTGCATCAGTCCAGATATATTTAGCTTTGTATCAGTAGTTCAAACAACAAAAGCAAAGACAATCCAGTGGGACCGGCTTCAAGTTCCTGGCTTCAGGTAAGTGTGCTTGTCTGCAGGCAGGCTTCTGCAGCAGCAGCACTGCTATTGATACCTGAGTGAGTGTCTACATCTCTGTTTTCCTGTGCTGAAGCCGCAACTCCCAGAAACAAATAAGCAAAGATGTGTTATTCCCAGTTCTGCCCTGGGACACATGGTCTTTGTTGCATCCACCTTTGTGGACAAAATGAGAACAGACAAAGCCTAATTCTATTAATTTGTCTCTCTTGGCAAGAGGAAGAGAATGAGGAGGCAGAAGATATTTCTCTCGTGCTTTTAGCTCATATATTCTTCCATTAAAACTAGGCAAAGTGGTATTTTGCTTGTGCAGTTATAAAGAGGAGAGCTTGAAGCAAAAAGAGCATGAACAAAAAAAAACAAACCCAGAAAGTCTTTCAGACAGAAACACGAACCAGCATTTGGGATTGTCATTAGAGACTCTTAGACTTCCTGCCACTCTGGCCCTTTATAGATAGTCTAAACAATATAATTCTTTGCCTAACTACCAAAGCTTGATTCTTTTGTTTTGTTTTATTCAGAAAATAATTAAGTTCCTTTAATTTATTCACACACATTGCTCTGAGAAAATAAGACTTTTGTAATGCACTTTTTACAGCAAAAGATTTTTCTTGGAGTAAATTAGCTGAGCAGAGGAAATCTACACAGCCTTGTGAATGTAGTAGAAACATAATGAAAATCAGGAAGGAATGTTTTAAAATGCATACAGTAGTGATACAGATCAAACCAAATGAACTCTCCAATTTGTATCTATAGTCTGGGTGTTAAATCTGACAGAAAGCCCGCTGAAGTCAAAGGGAGTCTTTTCACCAGGTTTATATCATTGAAATGCAATATTCACCAGCCAGGGAACTGCAGCAAACCTCATTATGACCCCATATATCAACCAGCAGATCTCAGGGCATTGCAGCTACTGCAGAAGATGAAGAGCTGTCCCCACTCAAATCAATTTAGTTTTGCCATTGATTTAAAAAAACAGCCAGGATTTCACTGTACATTTCTGGTAACACTTACTATTTGCTCTATGCTATCAAAAAAAACCTAAACATTTTAAAAGGGATTTTCAAATTTTCCCTATGGAGTTCCTGATAGTTAGTCTACTTTACTTAACTAATGTGAACAAGTAAGTCTAGAAGAAGAGAGTATAACATCATTAGAAAATGACAGCTTAATTCCTCTGTTAGTCATATTTAGCACTGTTAAAACCATAACCTGGATTTTTAAGTTCAGCCCAAATAAGGAATAAAAATCTTCATTCTAACTGAACTATTGTTCAGACTTTCCAGACATCTAGACCAGAAAGGTTACAAAAAAAAGTAGCTGCCATTACTACTGGGGATCAGCTATGATCCACTGCATAATTCTGAACGTAAGCAGCATCCTGAAAACTACAGGGCTCTCAAATGCACAAATCAATGAACCAGAGAACATCAGCAAAAGCACAGACACGCTTAATTGTTTCTTGGAAAATATTTCTTCCTTTCATTCTGTTGGAGTTATGCACCTAAAACTCCTATCAGTAGATGAAAACATTCTTCTAGTTTGTACTAAGTTAATAAATGTCATCATCCTTTTACTGAACATTGGTACATGCTGCAGTCTGAAACTGGCTTCCCACAGGAGAAGAAATCATTGGTGCGAAACCGGGTACTTCCTAAGTATCATTTATTTTTTCGAAATATCTACAGATATTTTTAGATGGACTGGAAGAGGTTCAGCATCACATATCCAAGCCCTTCTTTCAGGATTTTATGTTGTAGCAATTTGGCTACAAATTTAAGAGATTAAAGTTTAATTACAAAGGTTATAGAAGTGAATGAATTCCTTCAGGGATCACCATCTCCTCCCCAAAAGAAACACATATACAAAACTAGCCTCAGAGCATTTCAGCAAATACTTTGCCCAGTTCAGATGCTGACTAAAAAGGTAGATAAGTGTCTAACAGCACCACCTGGTGACTCCTGCCAGAATAATACTAGCACATTTTTAGATACAGCTTAATATGCAGTTCCATGAAACCTTTTATATACAAAAATATTACTCTGTGGTTTTGGCTGTCAATTCATGAAATCCAAGTTAGGCATGAGTCCAAATATTTACAGAATTGGAGCTGAATATATATGTATAAATCCTTTGTGTAAATTTGGGCAAAAATCAAATACATTCAAGTAGTCCGAGCTGTTTAAACCACAGCTACAATTTCATGCTAACTGCCTGATGACTGATTCACTGCAAAAATGTCAGTCCTGTGGTTACAAGATCAGCAGATGCCTTTGGTAAAACTACCTCCATGTTATCTAACTGACATGTATTGTTCTGTTATTAGTGCACAGAACACACAAGACAAGAACTATAGTCACTTTGATCTTCTTCCCCACTTTTCATCAAAAGATCCTATGCCAAAATATTTCATACAAACTCGCAATATTCTGTTTTGGAAAAGCTGCAATGCTGTCCCATGAAAGTTGTAATTAAACGTTTCTTATTTCTATCATGTTCCCTGTAACAGGTTTCATATCTAATATTCTCTCTTGGTGAGAGACCAGTGCCTCATGACTTGCTTGCATTGTGTTATAGGAGAGGAACAAAGCTCAGCTGTGAAGCCTGGCCCAAAAAGAGAAAAATGGGAACACGGAAGTCCAAATTATAATTCTAAAGCCAATGTTTTTTCAGGAGATTCAGGGCTTTTTTTCACAACTTCTTTCTAGTTGTCCAAGAGAAAATAAAACTTTATACATTTTTCTCAAAATTTCCAGTTGAAAATTCTATTTTCCACTGAAATATAATCCAAATAGGATTTTTGACGTACCACAATATAACCCAGTTATTCAAGATCATTGTAAAAAGTCACCAAAAAAGTCTTTGAATTCAATTTTGGCTCACCAACATAAAGTATTTTGTCATCAAATCCTTCATCAATGCCATCATGGTGTAAGAAGATTTTCACATTTGTAGGAAGGTTCCTCTTTTCAATCTTAGCAAATTCAGTTGGGTCTTTTAAGAATCTAGTGAGTGTATTTTTTCAGTACTAAAGCAAATGCAGCAACTTACGGTTCCGGTGTGTAGAGAGGATCTGAGCCATGCCGGATATACTGAGTACAGTGAAAAACTCTATATGCTAAGCCAGCTAAAAAATCCCGGGGAGACAGGTATCCAGCAACTGGTCTCACTGTGAAGCCAGACCTTTCTGAAGTGAAGGACATAATAAAAGACCACATTATACATATATCACTATATCAGCTTCTGGTGACAGATCTGTTGTTAATTATTCTACCAGAAGCATGACATGAAGAATCTTGGCTGAAGACCACCGCATATCATTTTCAATTATTATGTACAAGAAGCATTTTGCATTGCTAGCATATGTATAATGAAAACAGCCTGAGGTATTTCAAAGTTGGTTTGAATACCCCTGTCTGGAAAAAAAATGCTAAGGTGCCATAAGTGATGTTCTTAATATTTTTATATCTAGTACCAACTGGGAGAGAAGTTTCCATATCAGAAGATGGCCTCTGTAAAATATGTTAAAAACTAACAGAACAGAATAGGATTATAACAAATTTGTCATTATTTTTACAGATAAAATATTGCTTGTGACAATAAAATACTGATTTTTATAGTTGAGGTCCTCATTTAAACATTTAATAGTGTTCCTTTGTCAGATTAGTCACAGAGGAGAACAGCTTTAGATTCAGTGACTTTAAAAAGCATGTTTCTCTCAAAAATTAATTCTTCACTCTTTCAAAGCTTTTACAGGAGAATGTTTCAAGTTTTTCTGCAACAGATACTAGTACTGCTATATGTAGTCTGAAAACATAGTTCTGAAAGAAGTGTGAGATCTTGAATTTCTAGCTAGGGAGAAAGAATTTAGCATCATTCCTTAGAGACCATAATACAATATATGACAGACCCAGAAAGACACAGCCAAATTCAAAGAATGATGAATCAGCTATTAGTAAATGCAGGTGTTCACAAAAAAGATTTATGGATGAAGCACGGACTGAGGAAAGGTACCCTGTCATTACAAATTTCATTATTTCTTTTAGCTAAGGATTTTCTACATATATTTGGGACAAAAATGCTCTGCTAATTATTCTCTTAACAGCACATAATTTTTTTTTTCAAACACCCATCTCTATAATATTTTAGTTCCTGAGCAAGAGGATTAAGGAACAAATATATGTATCTGAGGGAACCTTTGAGAAGAAATTAAAATCTTAAATATCTTTTACTTTCCTGGATATTTGGGGGATGCCCACTGCACTTATGAGAACTCCCAACCTGTGGCAATGAGAGAACACAGCTAACTCAGCTCTTTCTTTTTATTATACTGAAGGGCTTTTCTCCCCATGCAAGATAATCATAGAATCATAGAATCAGCCAGGTTGGAAAAGACCTCCGAGATCATCAAGTCCGACCCTTGATCCAACACCGTCGTGGTTACTAGACCATGGCACTAAGTGCCACATCCAGTCTCAGCTTAAAAACTTCCAGGGACAGAGAATCCACCACTTGCCTGGGCAGCCCATTCCAATGTCTGTTACTCTCTCTGTAAAGAATTTCTTCCTAATGTCCAACCTAAACCTGCCCTGGCACAGCTTAAGACCGTGCCCTCTTGTCTTACTGATAGCTGCCTGGGAGAAGAGACCAACCCCCACCTGGCTACAACCTCCTTTCAGGGAGTTGTAGAGAGTGATGAGGTCTCCCCCGAGCCTCCTCTTCTCCAGGCTGAACAACCTCAGCTCCCTCAGCCTCTCCTCACAGGACTTGTGCTTGAGTCCCTTCACCAGCCTCGTTGCTCTTCTCTGGACCTGCTCCAGCACCTCAATGTCCTTCCTGAACTGAGGGGCCCAGAACTGGACACAGCACTCCAGGTGTGGCCTCACATCATGCTTTACGTGTTCAGCTGTTTAACTTCTCTCAATTTCATACATGCAATACATACATAAAACTGTCTTGACTCAAAAAACTCCCTGCCATGGAGAACATCAAAACCAGAATATTTCAGGCTAAACCAAAGACCACTGACAATGCTGAGAATCTTTTCATTTAATGTGCTTTGCATTCCATACAAAGAAAAAAGAGTGTTTTCATTGAACTATATCTACTGATAAACCAAATATGAATCTTACCTTTAAGAAAAATAGAAACATCTTCCAACTGAGGCACATTATCCTCTCTGTATCCACAGTACTTGGTCAGCAGAGGAAAGTTTTTTAAATATTCACGACAGGCATGGGTAGGATAGAGTTTACTGAGTTCCCTAAATACCACCCCCCACGTTTTAACTTCTTCAGCTGTGTACTCCACTCTAGGAATGGGTTGACCACTGTAAAAAAAAATTAAATACAAAATACATCTGAATACAACTAGGTTCTAGACAGATTATGGAGAGCAACATTTCTGCAAAAAGTATTATTTAAATAAAGGCAAACAGAGACTACTAAAACTATTTAAACTATTTTAAATTGACAACTAGATGCTTTTTTCCCAGAATTATTTCTTGATGTTATGATGTACATATTCTACCATTTTCTTAAGAACTGTATTTCTTTTTAAACAATCACATTGTTTCTTAATCTTTGTACATATCATAGTAGAAAGATGCATTTCTTATATGCCATATTCCTATACCATGCTAGTATTTCTCCACTTATTGCCAAAGATGCCTTTGCAAGTGGACAGCTGAAGATCCCGATTCAGTCTAATGTGTAGTTTCAGTAAGACAGCAGACTGTATGCTCTATACATTCTTTAAAATACACAATATTCACACAGTATCATTACCTAGCATTTTGTGAAGATTAGGCAATTACATAGATGCTTAGAAATGTATAGATCCAATTTAAAAATATATATTCATTGTTTAGACTGTTGCTTACATGTGAAGATATGTTTGGAACCCCAAATTCATCATCAGGAAGCTCACCTCAGAGCCAGTTTCACCTGCCTAGCTGAAATTAAGTCTGTAAATACATCTCTCCTTTTTTTTTTAATTCTGCACTGTTCCTCTGCCCTCTCCCATTTACAAAGATGTACAGAAATTGCAAAGCAGGAGCCTTCCAGGGTACCTGCTAAACTGTTTCTGACATTCAAGATTTGCCTTGAGTAGTTACAGCTAATTCAAAACTGACTGACAGTGTGAACAGTGCAAAGAGTTCCTTCCAACTTGCACTGCCTTGTATTTAGCTGTAAGGAATTTTCCATGTCATGGTCAGGGGGCATCATCTCATGTCATTAATTCCCCCTAGAATGTTATAATCTTTCTCTAGATTTAATATTCGCAATCTATAATATGTAATCTCTGCCATCTGCCTTCTCCTCAGGTATCTTCTTTTGCTGCACTGTAATGATGATGTACAGACTGGCAAAGGGATTCATATGATCCTCCTCCCTTTCATCAGTTCTTATGTCCCATCCCCGTGCCAGGGCTGGACAGGTGGGCACTTCCAGCCCAGTACTGCAGCTTCCACAGTATCCCAGACAGCAGCTGAACAGGTATACTGGGCACGGGGAACCCACTGCAGCAGAAGAACTGCAGTGCTGGGATTTTGCTAGAGGTTGTTGCCCAGTTCATAATCCTGTCTCCACTGTACAAGGTAACAAGGAACGAGCCCTCATGTCACATTTGATTGCTGCTATGCAGTCCCTTCATACACACGAGAGGATCACCTGCCCTACATTCATTGTGGTTGTCCCCTCATCTTTACTAAAAACTTACCATTTAATCCCCCTGCCTTTTGCTATATCAAAGGATTTTCATCCATGGCAGTTATCTGTCAGTCAAAGGCTACTTTGTATGAGGTACTTATACTTGTTAAGGTCTCACTGAATACCCAATACATTCACTAGTGTCCTGTCAGCCACTCTTGCAGACGTGACAAGAATTGCAACACATTTAGTGAAGTATTTCCATCCACTTGGTGTGCCAGAATACCCAGCCTCATCCCTTTTCCTTAGGTCTGACCTCTGCGATGGATACTGCAGTATGGGTCAGCACTGGCCCATCAAGAAGTAAGATACATATGCACCAGTGGAAAACTCATGTTTCTATTGTCACGAGAAAGGTATAAACACAATCAAGGATCTGAAGCTTGTCCACTGCTCACTAAAAGGTTTATAACTTAGTTATTGTTTCAATTAATTCATTAGTACTAAAGTAAGGTTCACTGAACATTAATTCCTTAATAGGATTTATGCATAGGAGAGCTGATCTTACTTCCAGCTTATCATGATACTGTTTTCTTTATCAAGAGAATCAAGGCAGCCAGACTTGAGGGAGGATCTACGCCTTTTTCCCTCAGCCCTGCAAACCTCATTTTTCTTACCCTCATATTTCAACAAGCAGGACCCACCTTGCACTCAAACATTTCAATAAATCACAGAAAAAGCCAGCCTGCATAGCCAGCTTCCTCGTGGCTAAGATGACTCTACAAGCTAACCGAATCTGAATTTTTATTTCTCCTTATTAAAATAGGGTCTTTCCATTTTGCCATGGGCATGAGCTATCAACTCATATTATAAATTCTGTCTTAAACATATGTTTCCTCCACATTTAATTTTCTCAACACTTTTCCAATCCCTAATCAGTCTCAAAGGACTAATTAGGAAGATTAATGCATTTTCACTATCTTTAGGATAGAAGCTAAGTGAAGGAGGGAGAAATATGGGGTTTTATGGGTTTTTTGGTCCATTTATTTCATACAGCTGATCTTCACTCCTCTGCTCTATTAACATGTCTTCCCCTTTAACACCCAGCTCCAGCAAATATCTGCTTCTCCAACCTCACTTCTTAGTGTTTTTCTCTTTCTCTCTCCATTACAAATGCCACTTTATGTTCAAACAAAGCAGAGCATCTACCACTATAGAACAGTCACAATTCATAAAGAAAACGCTGATCTGGGCTTTTCAACTCAACAACCTTTTACGGAGCCAATTCCTTGCAGTCAAATATCTTTGTTAATTTTTTTAAGGAAACAAGTGTGGTTAGGGTTTTTTTTACGCTGGAAAATGAAAGGTAGAAACACATCAAGCTTCAGTAAGTGATTAGGAAGGTCACTTACCTGGAAGACACTGACAGGTGTTTATCCCCAAGGAAGCAGCCTTATAACAGAGCTGGTCATTTTGCATAAATAAGTAAACAGACACTAGACCACAGAGGTGAGTCCTCCCTGAGCTGATTTGCCTTTCCTCAGTATGACTTAGGCTGTGCTGCAGCAGAATGCCAAGCGTGTCTCCCTGGGCCATCTCTACACACATACCCAGACACATCCTGACTGTACATACCAGCACATATGGCACATCCCTGGGGTTAAGGATAACCACTGCAGGAGACCTGAACTATGAATGAGATTTTGACACATTAGGTAACTGCCCTAAGCACTGGTCTGCCAGTTATTGTGGTCCTGGCTAAGAATATTTTAAGCCTCCTGTTTTCTCTCTGCTTGCAATAAAAGGACAAGTTTGAAATCTTTTAAAGGTTTGGAAAGAGCAGTGAAATAAAGGAGTACATAGAATCATAGAATCATAGAATCATAGAATCATAGAATCGATTGGGTTGGAAAAGACCTCCGAGATCATCGAGTCCAACCCTTGGTCCAAATCCAGTCCATTTACTAGATCATGGCACTCAGTGCCACGTCCAATCTGCGTTTAAAAATCTCCAGGGACGGTGAATGCACCACCTCTCTGGGCAGCCCATTCCAATGCCTGATTACTCTCTCTGTAAAGAATTTTCTCCTGATATCCAACTTAAAATTTCCCCTGGCAGAGCTTAAGCCCGTGCCCCCTTGTCCTATTGCTGAGTGCCTGAGAGAAGAGACCAACCCCCACCTGGTTTCCTGACAGGATGTGCCTTCTATAAAGGGAGAAAAAAATTGTGTGTTTCATCTTCTTTAAACAACATAGGTAGAAATCTCAAAGGAGAAAAACAAAAAACCTGAAGAAGTGTGGTAAAATGAAAAAGATCATGAAATTAGTATGTTCTTTCCCTTGAGAATGAGTGCTTAAGCCTGCTGCAAATAAAACCTAGAGTAGGATTAGAATTAGTTGAATGCTTCTGTGACAAGAAAATTGCAACACAGTAGGTGTTTGTAGGTAGAACAGAAAGTTTCTTAACTTCCAGGAACTGTAGAAATTGAAAATACTGATTTGAAATGGGAAAAAAAATCAAAATGAAAAAACACATGCAGTGCATTTATGCACAGGCACCAGCTCCACTGCAGAGAAATGCACTGACTAAATTCTAAGAAATTTGGAGCTGTGTAGGCAAAATTGATAAATGGCACTTTGCAGCATCCAGTATCATCATAGAATTATTAAGGCTGGAAAAGAACTCTACAATCATCAAGTTCAACTGTTAACCCAGCACTGCCATATTTGCCACTAAACCTTGTCCCCAAGTGCCACATCCACCCATCTTTTGAACACTTCCTGCAGTGGTGATTCCACCACTTCCCTGAAGAGTCTACTCCAATATCTGACCACCCTTTCAGTGAGGAAATTTTTCCTAATATTCAATCTAAACCTCCTCTGGTGCAACCTGAGGTCATTTCCTCTCATCCTGTCACTTGTTATCTGGGAAAAGAGACCAACTCCCAACTCAGTGCAATCTCCTTTCAGGTAGCTGTAGAGAGTGGTAAGTTCCCACCAAGCCTCCTTTTTTCCAGGCTAAACAACCCCAGCTCCCTCAGCTGCTCCTAAACCCTTCTCTCTAAACCCTTCACTAACTCCACTGCCCTTCTCTGGACATGTTCCAGCACCTCAATGTCTTTCTTGTAGTGAGAGGCCCAAAACTGGACACACGACTCAAGGTATGGCCTCACAAGTACAGAAGGATAATTACTGCCCTGGTCCTGCTGGCTACACTATTTCTGATACAGGCCAGGATGCCACTGGCCTTCTTGGCCACCTGGGTACACTGCTGGCTCGTTCAGATGCTGTTGAACAGCACCCCCAGGTCCTTTTCCACCAGGCATCTTTCCAGTCACTCTTCCCCCAGCCTGAAGCTCTGCATGGGGTTGTTGCAACCCAACCTGGCACTTGGCCTTGTTGAACCTCACACGACTGGCCTCAGCCCAGTATAGTACATGCATCAAAAAAAGAAATAATAATTTCGGGTTTTAGTGAGCTCTTTCAACTACACTGGGATGCTAGATACGTGTACTCAGAAGTGTGTCAGTGAGACACGCAAACATTTGTAAAATATTTCCTTAAGTCTAAGCATCTGTGAATAAAATGCTGAAGAGAAAGCGCTTGCCTTTCAAATGTTTTACTTGCCTGTATCTGTATCAAAAATGTAACAGGATTCAAGCATCAGGTTTGTAATTTATAGCCCACACTAAACTAGTCCAAGCTTAAAAGATGACTTTGTCTACCATTAAACTTTATTCTACAGAATTAAATAGAGCATGAATTCTAATTAGTCAGCAGCACAGGGAAGAATTATGCCAGTACTTACTATTTATAGCTCATGGCAAGATCCACAAAGTACTTTCTTCTCTGTCGATAGACATTGTCTTTAAATCCCTTAAGCAAGGAAAAAGAGAGTCATTTACAATAAGGACATAAAATTAGCTGTGAGAATTAGAAAATAAATCATTACAGTGTTTATTTAGTACTTAGTTGCATTGTATTTTGATTAACACTGTCTACTGGACTGCAACAGAAAAAAAGGATTTCTTCATTTTTTTTCTTCACCAAAGTCCCACAGGAGACCATTCAAGACAGTTTTGTGCATAGGTACAGTCATTCATCCAAGATGTTGATAAGGGAAACTTTTTCTTGTCATTTCATCTCATTCAAGTTTTCCTTGATCTGAATGGAGATCTACATGCAGGCACATAGCAGAAGAATTTACCTATCCTTAATACATCTTTCTTCACTAGAATCAAGCGTCGAGAGATCATAAGCAACTCATTTTGAAGATTCTTATTTCAGCAGTTGCCATCCTAACCAACACATTAGAGACTGAACCATCAACATCCAGCACTAAATAGGCATATTGCTTCAGTTTGAGTTACAAAGGAAGGGCTCTACCTCATGGGCTACAGTAAGTTCATACCTTTTCTATTAAGTGCAAAGGAGTTGTATAGCACATACACATTGGCCATTTACAGTTCTTTGTGCTATTCAAAATTAGAACAAGATCTCTTCTACACATATAAAATATGCAGACACTTCATGTTTTGCATTACAAGAAGAGTTAACTTTTTTCAAGGTAGAACTGTCAATCTCTTGAAGACAAAAAGGATAAAAACTTAGATAAGTTCCCCAGTTAGTGGCCCACAAAGTGCATTTAAGTTTCCCTTATTCAAAGCTGAAAATTAAAATGTCTTTTTTCCTTATTGCTCACATACACAAACGCAATCACTGAACGGAATGAAAAGATAACATGGTTAGATTTGAAATATTTGTATGAGGTTCCATAAAACTCAGAAGACATTTTACTGCCCCATAACCAAAGCTGTGCTGCTGGGGGAGAGTAAGCGAGGATTTCAGAGGACTGCAGAAAACCTTCCTACACAAAGAAGCTTGTTTGCTGTAATCTGGGGAAGTCTCCTTGTCTCCTTAATACCTTTTGACATAAATGATGAGTTACTCAGGTGAAGACCATTCAAGACCTGGAAAGTCATGGAAGACAGCACAGGGGACTTAAATGCCTGTCAAGTGTAGTGAAACTGAGACTGAAATCATTAGCCAGTACGGAGTGGGTTAGGGCTATGCTGCTGAAGCAGCACTATCCTTACAGGTTCTGTACTAGGATAATTCTCTTTGGTCCTCTGGTACCAAATGCCACCGCTAAGGAAAAGGGCAGATATTTTTAAAAGCCAGTCACAGATTTACAGGTTTTTACCCCATTTCTAACACCTAGCATACTGTATGGTGTGTAAATTATGTTTGTAAGAGTATCCCCAAGGGTAAAATATATATTCATTTAATGTAAATGTCTTTTTTTCATTTTCTGTAAAACTGAAGGCAGAGTGCTACAGTATTTAATGAAGGTACCAGTTCAAAATATAAACAGTATCCAATAGTCTGTCACAGTCATAAACTCAAAGTTGGAATGAGCTGTCACTACAACCTCTGTTTGAACCAAATTATGGTTAATGGATGAAGATAATCAACAGGTTTTCCCTTCTGAGAAAATGTGAAGCAAATCCTAGTTTGTCATCAAGAAGCACATGGCAGAAACCAGGATCCTCAAACATGCTCCCTGACTGTGGGCCTACAATGTGGGAAGGGCTCACACATGGCAGAAGTAGCTGTGAATGAAGCAAGATGATGATTATTATCGTGTTTGATACATGGGCAAGTGACACCAGACAGGGAAATGGAGCTACCAGGAGACACTGTGATGGCATTCTCCTGGTATGAGTGCAAAGGTGTGAGAATCTATGCCTAAACTCCCACTGGACCACAGACTGTGTGCAACAAAAATCAAAGCAGACCTACAGCTGCAGTTTAATCTGACTTTATTACAAAACAGTCTTATGGTCAGATATCTTAGTTTGCCGCCTACTTCCTTTCAGCTGGAAGTTTCCTACAATACTAGTTTAATCCAGCCTATTTTAGGAATTAATACAACTAGCTACCACCAGTATCTTTCAGTCAAGTCGTGCAGAGGTAGAAACTGGGATTTATAAAAAGGGAAAATATTTTAACACAAATGCTTTCAATCATCTGCCATCTAAAAACTCAGAGGCTAAGCGTTTATGGAAATTAGCTGAAAGAAATAAAACAATAACAAAACCATTTTTCTGTCTTTTGCACTGAGCATTTGGCAACACTGCAAACACAGCTTGTGTGAAATGCAGGCTCATCTCCTGCCACCAAAGTCAGGAAACAACGTGAGACACGTTCCCACCTGCTGCATTCATCAGAAGCAGGAACATATTGCTCTGTTTTATTTTGTAGTTACCTCCTGAGTGACAAACTATTCCTTCATAATTCTTTCCTTCATATTTCCTTCATTTTTCCTTCAGAATTCTTTCTTCTCTGACACCTATTGACAATATCAGTTCTTATCTAAGAGCTACTCGTGGCATAACTGAAGGTCGCATTGATCTAAACTCTTTAAAGTTTGAAACCTTTCTACCAACTCGTTAATTTAAAAAAAACAAGCAAACAAGCATTACAAAAGGGGACATACTTGTTAAACAAAGAATAAGTTTTCTAGAGGACCTCCATCTTGTGCATCCTTCTACAGAAAAGGAAAATTAATTTACTGAAACTACTGAAGAGAGAGTAGTCCCCACGTTCTGAAAACAATCAGCAGTCAACAGACTTTTTATCTGACTGGCAAATAACCTGAACAAATTATCTACGGGATAATGTTGTGTTACACTTACAGGGTGATCTGCATCCAGCTCAGATCCATACATCAAAACTCTCTGGGAGCATTTGTCCAATTCAGATATCTTCCTGGGGAACCAAGGGACACAGTCGAGATCTGCAGAAGACAGAATGCAAGTTGAACGTCCTGGAGTGTAAGATTATGGAGATACTTGTGCAAAATGTTTGTCAGTGCCTAAACCAAGTGATACGAAAACAGCCTTGCCTTCTTCGTCAGTCCAGATGTTTTCTGGTGGATTGAGAGATACGATATTAGTTTGAAACTTGAGCAACTGGATTAGTTCATTAAATTCTTTCTTACTGCAGTCACAGTCCACAAAAATTTCCACCTCCGAATTCCTTCTCTTTGATTTTCGTGATTCAATATGAACCATACTCACATGTTTTTCCTGTGGAAAGATGAAATAACAGATGAAATACAGACATACCAGCAGAAGGGCAATATTGATAGCACATTCTTCAGGAAAGTTTTTCCAGTTATTAAAAGACTGTTTTATTGAAAGTAGTCCCTTTTTGTATTTATAGAATCAGTTAGTGACACATAAGAAATACTGATGAAAAAAAATCTGTACAGAAAGTAAAAATAAAATTATTATATAGTTCATGAAGAAAACAAACTAATGATTTCATTTTATCTACAAAGACAGTCTCTTACAGAGGACAATATAACATAATTTTTTTAACAATGCAATTTTATATTATTACTTCTATATTGCTATATTAAATTCTAATGCAATTTTACTAGGCAATGTGCATAAAAATAATGTTAATTTAAACAGACTTGAGTGTGCTTCTTTAAATAGATTCTATTAAACATGTATGACTTTAGTCTCTCTTATAAACATGCGAGGAAGAAAATATTTTTGTGAGAATGTGTATCAGCCTCACCTATCTATTGTGCAGCAATTATTGATAGCAAAAAGCATTAACAGTAATAAAATTGTATTAAAATTAAAATATAATTCAATTTATTTTCTATTATAATGTCCCCAGCGAACTCAAATCATGCATCAAAGATTGGAGTGTAAGTACTTCTAGCATGAAAACTTTCCTTTGGGGTACCTCTCAACACAACTACTGGTCGGCCAAGGGTGTAACACAATGACAGATAACCATAATGTGCTATGGTTGTCCTGATCTAGTGCTGTGACAGCCTTGCTTCTAAACAGAAGTTGGATTAGATGACTGCTTTCTAACAATACTTCTATTAAGTCTGATTTTTTCCTTTTTTTTGGTCAGACAGAAACTATCTTGTTACTTTTCACAACTATCCTTTCACTTACTCAGTGAAGCCAATAAAACATTTTTTGATATCCAAATGGGACGAACTTTGTTCTTGTACTTCCACTTGCCTGCTGTATTTTGCATAAATGGTTAATACAATTTTACATAAATACCATTTCAGGTGAAGGTCTCCTCTGGTACCGCCAACTAGCAGTCTCTGCTTTTACACCTCTGGCTGTACATACATAATTCTTTCACTGGCATGCTCCATAACATATGTATACAGTGTAGCTAACTCAACCACATAACAAATTCACTCCGATCTACCCTAGGCTAAGTGGAGAACAAAACCCCACACTCCCCCCTGCAATACTCAAATTGTTCTGACTACATGAATGGGGGTGATATCTCTGCTACATCTTCCAACCATATTTTGAGAGACCAGAGTGACTTATACACCTATTCCCAAGAAGGGGTAGTTGATGTGCAAATCCAAAATTTCAGATATAAACTCACACAAGCAATTAAGCCAGACCTGCAGTCAGACATTTAACCCTTGGAGAGAAACTGCATTGAAAACGTGACTCCTTCTGAAACTTCTGTTCACTCCCTTAGGCTTCCCCTCTTCCTATGAAACACCCTGCTTCCTGGTAGCCTCCCTCCTGTGGGTCTAACTCACCCCTTTTCCCAGGCTGGGGAATGTAAGTATCTAATCTACATCAGCCTTGGGAATCTGCTCCCAGAGACAGCAACTCTGAGTGAGGACTGGCAACATCCAGTGCCCCTACACTTACATCCCTCTGATGGTTTAGCCTTAGAGGCAGGCTCCAGACCACCTCCTAACTTCCTCTTCACTACCCTGCACAGATTGAACAACCTTAGACTTTTATCATACTGCTTTAACTATGCTCAGATGTGCTTCCAAGCCCTCTTCCATTCATTAAGGTGGCAAGCGGACTACATGCAGTACTAGCAAGCAGTCTGACTGAAAAGCATCAACTGCATTGGGATCTATGGGGAAACAATACTTCACAATTTACCTTCCAGTTAGACACATATGTCCCCTACCCTGCACGTACTTAAAGGTCTCTTTAACTTTGTGACCAAATACTGTCCTGCAGCAAGGCTGCCGCCACCACCACCTGATTGTGTGTAATTTAGGTTTCAAAGTGCTCTCTGCAAGTGCCTCCTTTCATTGTGGCCTGCACAGACTACAAATCTAATTCCCGGTGTTGAGTCACACATCGGAAACCTAAAGCGAACGGTGTAAACATCAGCATCACTGTTAAAACTTCATTCCAGAAAACCCTTCACGAGCCCAAAATGCTTTGTTGAATGGTCCATAAAATTTTAAGTTACTTTCATTCAGTTCTGCAGAGTGAGTGTAACTGCACTCTATTCCTTCCGCCACAGTCCATTAGATTTATACCAACAAAGAGCCTGACCTCAGTAGCCTTCATCAGTTCAGTCAGTGTGGAGATTTGTAAGCTTTACCTGGAAGAGTCGGAGAGCTTTCACCAATCCACCAACTTCATTCTTCAGGGAAAACACCACAGCTGTCTTTCCACCTTCAGAAACAGATTCATTTTTCCCATTTCCCTTATTCCCTTTCTTTTCCTCATTTTTCCCAGAACTCGATCTGTTTAGCTACAAATGGATAAAGAACATGATCATTTCAGATGAAATTGGGCATTTCCCGCAAAGAGAAATTTTTGTTAGAAAACAACTGAACGGAACTCATCCAGACTTTACTTATTCAAAAGGTAGTGTGTTTACTTAAAATCAGAATCACAGATCAAAGGCAGCTGCTAGAGACGATTGTGTAAGAGGCCATTCCATTAAAAAAAAAAGTTTAAGGAAAAGCATATAAATAGGATACAAATACGATGGTATTACTAGGGCAATACTATCATTAGTAATAAATATGAAGCAAACGAAGACACTCTAAATTACTAGAAAAGCCAGCAGCTCTGTTATTCTAACCTGACTATTGCTGCAAAATTGCAGGGATGCTATTCTAACCTGTACCAGTCAATTTACGAAGATTTGCATTGGTCTGTACATTTGTATTAACCGTTAAATTTAAAACATAAACTTTACGGTCTCTGTTGCAGTACAATTTGCTGTCATGTAACTTTTCCTGAGAAAACAAAACCTCTGTTCATTATACAAACAAGGTGGAAATACAAGCTCAGACTGCACCACAGAATATCAAGTTGGACAGGACCTCAAGGATCATCTGGTCCAACCTTTCACAGCAAAAGCACGGTCTAGACAAGAAGCCCCCAGCACCCTACCCAGCTGAATCTTAAAATTGTCCAGCGTGGGGGATCCACCACTCCCTTGGGAAGATTATTTCAATAGTTGACTGTTCTCATTGTGAAAAACTGTACATCCCATAAAAGAGGAGTTAGCTGAGGAACTCAAAAAAAAAAAAATACAGAAAATTACACCATCCTCGGTGAGTCCTACATTCTTTTCACAATTTGGGAGTCAAAGACTGCTTTAAGCCAAACTTCAGCCAGCATTTTCAAAAAAAAATGCAATTTAATCAGCTTAGATCTTGTCGAGATGCAAACAGTACAGTTTTTATAGACAGTTTTTATAAGATGATTTTCAAAAAAACAGCCTGCATTTTCCAGTACTCTGTCACAACTTCAGAAGTTTTGACTCCTGAAGAAATTAAATCTCCAGTGAGATGCTGCTTTTTCATAATCTATAAACAGTCACTAAAAATACAAAGATAGAAATTTAAAATCATACACAACTATTTCACATGTATTGAACTGTCTTTTACTAATTTATAAAGCAGCTTACAGAAAATAACCTAAAAATGAAGCTTTTCAAACAGGTCTTAGAACACCCTTTAAATGGCACAGGTTAAACCAGCCCCATTTAAACTAGTTACAGGACATGCTAAGAAGCCTCCATGGTCTTTTCTCACCATTTATTAGACTACATGGAAACAACCTGGAAAAGCAATTAAGTTTGCAGAATGATATATGAGTGGGTTCACACATGTTTATTTTTTAGCAATTGAGCTTATATGATTCTGCTCAGTAGGAGATTTGCCCAGGGACAGTTATGGGGAAGGTCACTTTCAACTTCAGTAATATTTGGGATTTGGCTAAGTCCTTTTCATATACATCAGGCACACAACACCCACATGAAGCAACAAAGGTGCCATTTTTATAGCATCTGTGTTTTTTCCATGTGTGCTGCTTTCTAGAAGCTACATACAGATGATCATGGAGTCAACTGAGTGTCTAAGAATCTCAATATCACCAATTCCTCTGGAAAACAAGGGTACTTGGCACCTTCCAGGACTGTCACAGGTTCCCTAATACTCTGATGAAATCATTAACCAAAGTGATGACAAAACCCTCTCCAGCATTTGAAACCTATAACACCTATTTGTTATGAGCCCAGTAGAAGAGGCTGAACTCAAATCTTATTAGCCCTGCTAATCAGTACATTTCATAATTAAATAACAAGTAAAAGATCAACTTTCCTAATGAAAATTAATTATCTGGGGCAAGGGCAAGTACTCAGGAAAAAAAGTCATCTATAGTGGAACTCAGTGAAGAAAGTAACTCAAATATAAAGACAGTAAAACAGATTTATTCCATTTAATTCAATACTTCCAATAGAAGTAAAGCATGTACAAATAGCAATATTTCACATTTCAATGTAAAGACAATATGCCAGTTCACAACTGGTAGAAACTGGTCCATTCTGTTGGTTCTACTCAATTGACCCAAATCTTCATATGTTGCAAAATTCTATAGGAGGCAAAATCTTCATAATCCTAAATATTTCACATATTCAGATCAGGTTGCCTTATTAGCCCCTATTAACATTCTTTATTCTTATTTAGGCATACATACATTTATTTACCTGTAAGCATACAGAAATTTATCCCATGCTTGAAATGACCCAAGCATCTGTTGCACCCATACCATCACCTTACAGAGAACTATTTCTACCTCCTGACAGGGTTTCCAGCAGTCTCTGCACGATGCTCCCAGTTGTCCCTGCACCCCTGCCAGCAGGCAGAGGCTGGGAACACAGCACAGCCATCGGCACCAATGCAGTGTGAGTGCAGGCGACTTCTATTTTACCAAAAAAGCTTTATATATCGTCCTGTAAGGTTTACGAGTGCCTTGAAAAGGCAGGTTCTGCTGATGAAAATAGCCCGCAGGATTTACCACAGACTTCCAAAATCCAAGCATTTAAAACCCTCTGAATGGTACCCTGCTGCTTTTCTGTTGTTCCAGTAGCAATATGGTTCCTTTCTGTAGTAAGGCTTGTATAACTAATGAAACTTTTTCCGTTATTTACAGACACTTTTAAGGCAGCGTTCTGAACGAGGCAAAGTTAATTTCACCGGGCCCTGCAACTGCTGAAAAACTACTGAAGCGGTCGGGGGACGCACGGCGCCCGGCATCGGGTCCCGGAGGCGCCAGCGGACCCGACCTCGACCCACTCGGTGGCTCCCTCCCGTCCCCGCCGGGGTCGGGGCTGCCCCGTTCCCAGCCCCGCCACTTACGGTGAGGCTGCCGGCGGCGGGGCGCTCCTCCGGCAGCGCCGAATCCAGCGAGAAGCCCCTCCGCGCCCAGTACTTACTGGAGAACATCATCATGGCGGGCTGCATGGGGCCGGCGGGCGGGACGGGGGCAGCGCCGCGCTCTGCCCGCCTCGCCCGCGGCCGCTCCTTTTATACGCCCCCGCCGCGGCTGATGGAAACACGATTAGGGGACACCCGTCTCCGGGTGACGAGAGCCGCTGGCAGGCGGACGCCCACGGTCCCCGCTTACCTCCGCCGCCGGGACGGGACAGCACAGCGCGGGAAGCGAAGCCGTCCCGGGCGCTGCCCGGCCCCGCCGCCCCACGCCGGAGGGAGCCCCCGGGGGAAGCTGTGCCCACAGCAGCCGCGGAGGTCCCGCTGCGGAGCGGCTGCCCCCGCCCGCCCCCGGGTCTGCCCTGGGCGGTGCCTTCCCTTCCCCTCACACCGATGCCCGGCGCGGCTGCAGCGCTCCGAGCCCAGCCCGAGCAGCGGCGCCGGCCCGCCCTGTGCCCCGGCGCGGGCAGGGTGGGCAGCGGGGCAGGGCCGCGCAGCGCTCACAGCGTGGGGGCGCTGGGACAGGGCCCAGCAGGGCAGAGCACTGCGGGAGCTGAGCTTCTGCACAGGGAAGTTGTGCAGAGATAGTGATGTGAGAAATTCTTCGATGCAGAAATTCATCTCTCTCCATTTTATAGAGTAATGCTTTGAAAGATATATTAAGGGATAGAAATTAGATCTTGTAAGGAGGACTTAACGTACCTTATATATCGACGGTAGGTAAAGTCTGACTGCAAGAAGTACTTCCTCTGAAAAAGCGCTTCACTGGAAAAAGCTGTTTGACCGAGGCAGCAATGGCTGTGGTTTATGCCTGAGCTGTGCAAGGGCCAGATGCTGATCGTGATACTCTCTTCTAACCACAACATCAGTAAAACAATTAATTACTTGTGAAGGTAAAACAATCCCATAGCACTCCTGAAGGTCTTTTATATATATGACAACTTTACTTGTCTCTAAAATACTCATGTCTTGGGGTAAAGATTTATTTATTGAGGTTAAGAATTTGTTTACTCCTTAATTTCAGATTAGTACTGGCTCAGAAATTTTAAGTGAACAGAAGGCAACCATTGAAACAAGAACTTGACTGCAGTGTTAAAGATACTCAATCTCTCAAAACTACTTGTGAAATTTAGGATTTTTAATTTCTCTTACATTCTGAGGTCAATGCTCATTTTGTGACCTGCCACTGTCACTTGCTCTCCCACTTCCTTCACACTTCTACCATTTTCCAAAACTTCTCCACTACATCCTTTGAATAACCCTTACAGCATGTAGCACTGAACAGCACATCTGGATTGGGAGCATTATGCCAGTTTCCTTCAAATACATACAGTTTTCTCTGTTCCAGTGCTCCAGGTGGGGGAAACTGTCACCACTTCCCCTTGAAAAGCACCATCCGTGACTCATCCTGCAGCCTGCCCAAAGAGGGGCAGCCCAGCTGAATGCAACAGCTGGCTTCACATGGCCCTGAATTGGTATGCATACAGATCACACAGATTAAGCAGGAAAAGTTAAAATCAGATCCACCGAAGGTGGGACACTGAGCAGGGAGCTGCACAAGTCAAGTAGCAGAAGTGTCACTGACAGTACAAAGCTTCATGTCACATCTAACTCAGCCTTCCTTCACAACCTCAAAGCCCTTACTGTTGCAAGACAGCACCTTAGAACTAGGATTTACATATCAGCATCAGCAGAGAATCTGTGTTGTTCTTCTGCAAGCCAAGACAGAAGCACAACAGAAGATTTGAGACTGTTTCTCCCATGGAGTAGCATTGAATCTTATATTTTATCATAACAAAGGAAAAACAGCAAAAGTTTCCAGACTAAACTGACTGCTGTCAGTCAGATGCCCCCCTTCTAAAAACAGATGGTCATGCTTGATGTTCAGGACCAGGCCAGGTTCACAGATGCCTCAGAACTCCTGGGAGACCTGAAGTAAACCCTTTTAAACTCACCTCTCCAGAGTTTCCCAAGTGTAGCATGCGATAAGGATCCTTTCGTCTGGTTGATACTAAGTTTGTAATAATATTTGGTTCCTCTAACCAAATGATTTGCCTTTAGTGCAAATCAATAATTTTTGTTATGCTAGCCCACAAAGTTTTACTTCATTTTCCCAGTCAGAGAAAAGCATGTCTTCATGTATTATTAGCTCTGTGTCGTATCCTAAGTTATCGAGATACGTTCTCTGTCCTGTTTTTTCATTACTTTTGATGATAGGAAAGCAAGTTGGAGTGTTTGGATTTTGATATTCCTACCTACTATGCATGAGATACATAGACACTGTTCCAGCAGTTGAACAATTTATGAGAGTAAGATTGCTTAGCACTCTTCAAATGCTCCACTGACAAAACTGAGCACTACTGAGCTGACTTTTCACCTACTGGCATGACAGAGCATGATTTTATCTACTCTTAGATGCTGGCTCTGCAGCTGGGACATCACACAACTCAACGACCCTACTACTCTGTAGCCTTGCTACTATCACAGCTCTGTGCAGTAATCGGAGCACAACAAAGGTTTTCTGTCTCTCTCAACCCCTTCAGGATGACTCATGAATGCAAAACAAACAAAGGTACATTGTGTCAGCAGGTGCTACGTAACAGGCAGGGAAGACTCAAGTGCTTCAACTATTTTAACCATGCTGTCTGCCCATGTATCCCACAGGAAGATTGCTTCTCCCTGGAGAAGTATTGCAAGTATTTTATAGGTGGACTTTTCCATATCAGTGTCACATCAAAGAACATTTATGGACTGAGAGTTTATTTCGTCTTTGTTCTAGCTGCTGTACAATAGAGCTGGTATGTGGCTCTGGGAATACTGCTAACTCTACTGTTTAGAGCTCAACTCCTTTTTCTATAGTTAACAGTGCTGTACATGTAAAACAAATGAGCACTCAAAATCACAAAACAAAACACAAAAAATTAGAAGTGTATTGAAGCAATACAAAAATATGTGTTCTAGAACATGTCAGGGTGGCACACAGCAACGTTTTGTCACCTTGGGAAATAGAGCTAATGTTGGTAATAAGAAAGAGATAAGCTTACTTTTATTACTAAAAGGCACCTTATTCGCCTATAATAAGAATTCAGAAACTGCAAGGTCCTCTTTACACACATATTTTCCTATCCTCTCACAAACAGTAGAGTCACTGTTGCCTGAAATCCTTAGCTATGCACTTTTTAAGCTTAAAAAATTGCTGAATTCTCAAGTGAAAATTTAAATCTAAAGCAAACCTATGAGATGTTTTCAATGTTTGAGTCATTTCCCCCTGCTGGAGATACTGGTGGCCCATTTCAGCATAGTTTTCCTTAAAACTATTTGTAGCATTTACTGTAGTTTAACAGGAGGATTAAATTTGCAGTGCAGAGCAGCTAGTATTGACCAGGAAACTATCTGAATTTACCTCTGGCTCTCCCAAATCACCACCAAGTCTTTGTCCAGAGGCACTACAGCAGGAAGGAGAACTAACTCTAAAGTCATCATGTGGCAGGACAGAGAAAGAAACAAATCTATGAAAACATATCAAAAAAAACCATAAAGAAAGATGGACTCCAAAAGGATCTTAAGTGAAAACAACAACATTATTCAATGTAAGGTCAAAAAGACAAGGTGGAGAATAGATGGGCTTATTATTAATGTAAGAGATGCTAACACAAGCAGAAAATAGAAGTCTCAATACCTAATCAAACCATAACTTAGTTGGCAAAACGACAACTTTGTGAAACAATTGACAAGTAGACTAGCCAAAGGAGCTTTTTCAATAAGGAAAGTTATACAATCTGTTCCTGTTTATCAAACATACCCACATCAACTCCAAAGTCCATTTCTCCGAGTGATGTACACCTGGTGAAAAATCTGTGATAAGAATGTACACTTAATTTTTAAGTCATGAAGATATGGGAAGCACAGGTTTTCAAGCAGCCAGCAAAACCATCCCAAGCTCTAGTAGCACTAAGGGGATTTTAATCAATTAACAACTACTGGGAAGGGATATCTACCAAATGATAGACTGGCTAGGAAGACCTGAAAATACAGGTGATATGAAGAACATAAAGTGGATTCACAATCTTTGGATAAAGAAAGGTTCTGAGAAGGAAGCAAAAACTGACAATTTCAGAAAAAAAAGAACTTCAATAAATTCAGTTATTACAAGTCTCAAGGAAATGAAACCTAGAGCAGAAAGACAGTTCTTTCCTTGCTTCAGGAAAAAAAGCAGTTTCATCAGGAAACTATTTCATTATAAAGGAGTTGTGGTCTTCCAATACACTTTTACTAGTAGTATCGAAAGTCATTAGTTGTCATTACCTTCAGTTCAAAAGAGGTACTTACAGGAGATGAAAACTAGGACCAAGCTAGTAAATGCAGGCAGCGCAACACATATACAAAGGCTGTAGTACAAAATTCAAAGTAATTAGTACAGGACATCAAAAGCAACTATTTAAAAAATATAAATACAGCAGCAGTCAGAAGAATTGAACTATCAGACAACTACTGAACACAAATAAAGAACAAAACAGAAAATAAACTTGAAATTAATTAAGTATTTAATGCACTCTTTTTACATCATTCTTTGCTAAAGAATCATCTGTGACCAGCTGTCTATCCAAATAAATAGCAATGGCAGAGAGGTAAGCTCTTTTCTTTTAACAAGGTGAAGCAATGTTGGAGAATACTTGGGATAAGTCTGACCATAGTAAATGACAGCACAGTAACCACACTTCCAGAGTAGGCTCACTCAACCTCTGCCATCAATAACTATTTTAAGAACTCAGGGGATGGACAAGTGACAAAAGACTGGGAAAAGGCTAAAATAATGTCACTTTCCAAGAAGATATGGGGAGAAAGAAGGGATGAAGATTTATGGACCAGTCTAATTTCATTTGTTTGAGAAAACAGAAGTACCAAAATTATTTGTAAAGATCCAGAAGATAACAGATGATTAAACAGTCAAGACAGATTTGCTGGGAACAAATTGAGTCAAGCAAATCTCATTTCCTCCTATGACAGTCCTGTGGACCAAGGCAAAACAATACAAATCATTCATCTTGATGGTAGGGAAGCATTT